AATTTGAGTAACGGTATATGAATCTGCTAACTTTCTTTTGTATAAAGTAAGATATTGGAGTGAAGATCTATGAGATATAGAAAATAGTTAGTGTAGGCTAGGTGGAAGTTCACTGTAATGAGAGGGTAATGGGGGCTGTTTGACAAAGTATACATCTGGAAGCTTCGAAAATTTGTAGATTCTTCTTAGAGCATTAACTACTGCTCTAGTGTGATCGTACTTTGATCGAAAGTTCAAAAGGCAAGATCTCTTGAACCTCTTTGGATATCTGTTCTGGATAAGCTTGTTTTCTAGTGCTTTGTTTATCTGTGCTCTGATTTCTTTAAGAGTTTCTTCACTAGTATTCTTGATCTTTAGGGAGCCTCTGGCATACAGGATAATACTACATATTTTTCTGTATGTAGTTCTAGAAAAGTTTAGGTTTGACAGGTGTTGGGCAATAAGCCATGTTTTAAGCATTATATGAATAGTATTACAGGTAGTAATATTGGTAAGTGTAATCTCATTATTTTGTTTGTAGGCTGCAAGTGCATTGTTAAAAAGCTAATTATATTCCTTCTGGTGAGCCAGAGTAGTTTTTGGATTGCGTGTGAATGTTGTGAAAAACCTAGTATCCTGGTAAGCAAATTTAAAGGCGATTGCTTCAGATAGCTTGTAGTTAGTTGGAGTAGTAATAAGCTTATGGCTAGTAAAGTTATAGATGCCTTAAGGGGTCTCAAGAGCTTTTGCAATTTTGTCAAAATACCAAGTACTTGTATCAAAGAGTGTATCAATAGGTTTAGTAGTTTTAAGGTATACTTCTGAAGCCCACTCCATTTCATCTTCAGAGGCATTAGTTTTGAGTAGCTTTAGATCTGTTTAAGCAGCTTGGCTGTATGTCAATCTTGCAGTAGGTGTCTTTGTACTTGCTTGTATTCTAATAGAAGTTGAGATATTGCCTAATATAGCCTTAGTAGCTTTATTTAAGGTAGTAGCAAGTGGAAAAATATTATATAAGTTTCTAGGTCTTTTACGGTTGGTGTTGGGGTTGGCTGTGGGGGCTGCAGAGGTATACTTGGGTTAGGTATAGTAAGTACCGGCTGAGTGATCTGGTTAGTAGGTGTACTGGGTCTGGGTACAGTGGTCTTGTTTGTACTACTAGTGTTTTGAATACTAGTCGATTTAGTACTAGGAGGTTTGTTTGTATTAGGTGTAGGGTTTGTGTTATTGTTGTCTATACTAATAATTGTGTGCTTTGTAACAGAGTCTTGGGGATGGCTAGGATTGGTAGAGGCTAATGTTTGTATAACTTGCTTATTGATACTTCTGTTTGATTCGTTGTCTGAGTCAAAATCTGTAATACTATTGTATAGGATTACAGCAAGATTTTTTATGCTTTTAGCCTTCATGAATAGCTTCATGCTTCTTTCATAAAATTTTGTAATTGTTACAAGGTCACAATTTCAGGTAGCTTTGGAGTATTTGGTGCTAATATTTACAATACTATTTTTCTGTAATGTGAGGTCGAATAGAACAGATTTGGCAAGATCGTCATGTTGGCATATTCATTGTGGTGGGTAGTTAACCAAGTTGGTATCTTTCCGGATTTGGTAATATCGACGGAGAAGGCGAAAGTGTCAGCGTACTTGGGAATAGAGAAGCTAACAGTAAAAATGAGTTTTGACCAGTTCTTCATAGTGATATTTAAAAAATTTTTTGTGTGTTCTACACCAGAGCTTGGAGGCAAGCTGATAGTAGGGGTGTCTTCAGATTGCACAGGTTTGGTGGTCTGGGAAAAAAATCTAAAGTAGGAGGAGGAGCTTTTTAAAGCCATGTTTTGGTTGAGATTTTGGGACTTGATAGAGTAAGGTACTTGTTGCTATTTGTTATTTTTGCTAAGAGCACTACTTGTAGTTTGTTTCTGGTTAGTTGGAATATAGAGGTCCTTAGAACCACTTTCGTGGAAGGGTTGAAAAACTGGTTTATTGCTGTTTTGGGTGTTTATTGCTACTAGC